CTGTACTCCATTCAGCTCTCTGCTCAGTCTGCTTCTCTGGGGCCATCACTATTGACTCCAAGGCAGTCATTTAATAACCAGTGAAGTCAAAAGTCCATGGTACAGGCTGTGTTTTTAGTCAGGAATTCCCTTCCCCGTAACACTGGTAGGCCCAGGGTACCACCGCCTTCAAATATTTGCCCCAAAGTCACCTTGACATTAACTATGAGCTTAATTCCCATATTTAAAATTACAATCCCCCCACACTTCAGAAATCTGTTCCTCTTCCTTGCTCTGGTTTTCCCTTGGACACTTCTCACATTTTTGTACCTATTTTATTGTCTCTCCATACCCATCAGGATACAAATTCCAGAAACAGAGATTTGGGCTATTCTACTCAATTCATAGTCTATAGGCTCTGAGGAGTCTTTGCATATAGGAGTCACATAGAAATTTGCTGAAAAAGTGAATAAATACCCCAAAATGACACAAACTTGCCTCTAACCCTCAGGTCTCTCCCAATTGTCAAACTCAGGCTGCAGTCTTAGAACTCCCCTTAAGGGAAAAATGGGTGTTCCTTCTAAAGGGAGATAATTTGGCAAGTATACTTCCCACAGGGTAGAAGAGGCAGAGATGGAATCTGGAATGATGAACTTTGTCTAGTCCTGGTTCTGAGGAAGATATAAAGGAAGAATAATAAAAGTAGACCAAAGTCAAGGATGGTCTTTCTCAGCAGAGTGGGAAGCATGGCAGTGAAAGGAAGGCTGCTGTAAAATAAAGGATGAGTTTATGAAATTCCTTTCAGCAAAGCATTAAGTGCCTGATAGAGCAGAGAACATGATGTACTGGGTGAAGACTTGGTCCCACGTGAACCTCTGCCATTAAGCAGCCCACTGACCTTTGGCCAAATCACACCACTCTCAGCTACAGGATGGCTGGATTGAGTGGACTGGGTGTTGGAGAAATTCTGACCATGGAACTCATGACCTATCCCTCCAAGTAAGAGATTTTACAGTTCAAACACTACTCTAGGGAAGAGACTGCTCAGGGCTCTTGAAGGCTTGCCATTTTATCCTTAGAGAGAACCAACAGTTGCTGGCAACCAAGAAAGCTGACCTGCAAACTGGGAAAACAAGAGACTACAGGATCCCGAGTTGCCATGTAAGAAGTTCACTTACCTTTCCTCTCAAGAGTGTCCTTGACCTAGTAAAAGAGGATAGGTAGGGACACCCGGCCCAGAGCCTGCAATCAGAGTCCAACCTACTTAAGCTGTAAGAACTACCTTCTTGTTCAGATTCCCCCAGAGCCATATAACCCAAGATTCGGAAGCCTGTTGCAACCTCAGCAGAGTTGCTGGGGGACTGCGTAACCCCATGAGCTAGGAAGGCTATCCCCCCTTCCAAAACTCCGTCTCTTTGAGGAACTGTGACTAGTACCAGCTCCTGGAGTTAAGCTCTCCATGACAGTCAAGGTGCCAAGGTATGACAGTCTCTGAGCCATTTTATCAACACGTGAAAGATCTTCTGTTAGTACAAAGAGACCTCAGACTTAATGGTCCTTTTCAGATTGTGTTAGTAGGAACTGATTGCTTTACCACAGGGCAATGTAAAAAGTTCGCCAAGTCAACTCTGAGCAGGCTGGGTAGAGGGACCCTTCCAGTACCTGGAACAGTCTTTTCCAGAAAATGCTTTGAATCTTTATAACCAAATCACTGTCATACTTCAATGATGAGAACTAGATTTATATCTAAGGTTTTAAATAAATGGTTCTCAACTTTCAAGATACATTAGAATCACAGAAATGAGCTTTTAAAAGATCTAGAGAATATTTGAATCCAGTGGCTTATTGATAGCAATTCCGGTTAAATCAGTCTGATGTGGGCACCCAACACTGATATGTTTCACAAGTACCCTATGAGACTAAATCGGCAAAACAATCTTGGAAAAAACTGGCAATTTCTACTAAAACTGATCATACATGTTTATCCTACTACTCTACAATTCTACTTTTAGATGTGTAACCAACAGAAATGTGTGTATGTCCCACCAAAAGACATGTAAAAGAATGCTCATGGAACTCCTGGGTGGCTTAGTCAGTTAAGCACCTGACTTCAGCCCAGGTTGTGATCTTGGGGTCCTGGGACTGGGCCCCATGACAGGCTCCTGGCTCAGCCAAGGAGTCTGCTTCTCCTTCTCCCTCTGCCCTGATCGTGCTCTCTCTCATATAAAGAAAATCTTTTTTAAAAAATGCTCATATTAGTTACAACTCATATCACCAAAAACTAGAAACTAAATGTCTATAGATGAGCGAATAGTGGCAAATTCTTAGAGTAGAATACAATACAGCAATGAGAGTAAATGAACTACAACTACATGCAATATGAAATAATCTCAGCAACACAATGTTAATTGAAAGAAGCCAGACACAAAAGTCTTTATACTGTAAAATGCCATTTATATAAAGTTCTAAGACAGGCATTATTAATCTACAGTTAGAAGTGAGGATAATGATGATTACCTTTGTGAGGGGTGATGACTGGAGGGTATAGCAGGGTATAGGAAGAAGGGTTTCTGGGGTGCCAACACCACTTCTTGATCTGGGTGCTAGTTACTCAGGTTAAGTTCAATTGCAAAAAATTCATTGAGTTGTATACTTGTTATAGGCACACTCATTTTATGCATTCATATTTAAATAAAAAGAAATAAAAACAAAAAGCTCCCTAAGTGACATCAATGTGAGTTGAGAACCATTGAAACAGATCTCCAGGCAGCTATCTCTGTTAAAAAGATAACGAATTTGGGACGCCTGGGTAGCTGAGCAGTTGAGCGGCTGGCTGCCTTTGGCTCAGGGCGTGATCCTGGGGTCCTGGGATAGTCTCTGCATCGGGCTCCCCTCGAGAAGCCTGCTTCTCCCTCTGCCTGTGTTTCTGCCTCTCTCTCTGTGTGTCTCTCATGAATAAGTAAATAAAATCTTAAAAAAAAAAAAGATAATGAATCATCCATGTATACGTTAACTAATGATGCTCAAATGCTCAGCCACCCAAGCATCCCACCTTAACTAATTTCTAATCGTTGACACAGATAACATGTATTGAGCACTTAATATGTGCCAGAACAATTCTAAATGCTCTTCAGCTAAAAATTCATTTTCAATTCTCCTAACAACTCAATGCCTAAATATTTTATTTAACATCTGAGCAAGTTTTGGTCTAGATAGGTTAACTAATTTGCTTAAAGCCACATAACTACTAAAGAGTGAAAGAAGGTTTCTAGGTGTTTTGGATACAGACATAAACAAGACAATGCATGTATTTGCCTTGTATGGAGCAAACAAACATATTTAACTTGCTCTCCACTCAACAAAAACCATCCATTGAGCACCTATTCTCAGTGGCCTGCCAGGAAGCAAGCCTAAATTCTCTTCTACCAGTCTTTTTAAAAGGAGACTTTATCAGAAAAAGCCACTGGAAAGGAGAGTAGGTTTGACCATAAGCAAACAAAAAGCAAAGTCAGTCAGAAACAATGCAGTTTAGCACAGCACAAGTTGAAAAGCAGTCAGAAGTGTTGTGATCTCTAGTCTAAATGTCTGGAGTTCCTCTTTACCAACATGAAAGATTCACTACCATTTACTGTACATCTCACCTTTGTCCACCTTCTCTACCAGGAAAAATCATTTTGCCCCAGGGTGGGTTTCACCACCAAGGACTCCCTAACACTCAAAAACCTTTACTCACAGAGCTGGCAAATCCACAGGACAATTATGTTTGCCAACTATAGCAATTACTAAAAACTGGTGAGGCTGAAGGTCTCAAGATCCACCTCCAAGATATATCCTCCCCTCTTCTACTCTACTATTCCTCCACTAGTCACCACCCAGACAAGAAGCAACAGGGTGTACTTCCTGGGAGTAAGCTTGGCAATCATACCCACTAGTTAAGCATTTAGATTTCCTGTTAGAGGTAGAGCAGGCCGAGGTCAGATGCAACAGGGAAAAACCGCAACTCTAGGGCCTGGACGGAGACAAGGTTATTAGAAGAGCCCAAAATTGAAGGAAAAGGAAAAGTTTATTGGGTTCCACTTAGCAAATGACTTAGGCGTAGGTGAAAAAGCGATGTCTGGAAGGTGTACCTCTCTCACTAATCAGCCTTATGACCTTATCAAGTTTTGTCATCTCATTAATCTCGGACTCCTCAACTCTGAATTATAGGGCAAAGAGGTAATTTGCATTAATAAGTTCTGACTACGGCACTGCACACAGTCCCAACCAAACTCTTCTGGCAGGAAGCCGTCAGCAGCGGCATTTTGGGGGAGCACAGTCGCGCCGGTTAAGAGAACTGGTCCAAAACACAAGAGCCAACGGGCCTAGGCACCAGGCAGCCCTTCTAGAAACTCGGACAGTGCCCAAGGCCCCAGTCTTTGCAGGGAACCGATCTTTGGGTGTGACACGTTCAATACTACGTCCTCCCTCCCCACGCGGCCGGCCTCACTCTTGCGCTCCATGTAGCCCTCCAGCAAAACACGGGAACGTGGGGGACCTGCACACTCTGCTCAGAGCCCCCGCCTGCAGCCCAACACGCCCTAACAACGACAGGTGCTTACGCGGAGACCACCTTCCCGTTCAGGATTTCCGCCGGTGCCATGGCCTTTATTAGTCCGCTGCCCACGACGGACACCACCAAAATTGATGATCGACTTAGCTCCACCTGCGCGCGCTACAGCCCAACCCACGTGTTCAGCGAATAGCCCTCCCACCCGGGCCACCAGAGGCGGTGCTTCTGCGCCTGCGCCCCCTGCCCAGCCCCGCCTCCCGCCCCCGCGGTGCGCGTGCGCAGCCCGGAAGGACGTAAGGCCCTCTAGTGCCGATGAGCGGGGGTTTGGATGGAGGTCGGATGCCCGGGAAAGGACGAACTCGGTGATGAGTGGCTGGCGGAAATGATTGAATGGCGGAAGAAGCCGTTTCAGATTGCGCCTTCGTGTGGGGGCGGGGAGCTCGCCGGGGAGGGGTCGGGTCTCGATCCCAGCCTCTCGTGGGCGGGGCCTGAGGGGCGATCTCGCGGGAATCAGTTGCGCGCGCGCGGGAGAGGGGCGCGTCTCCCGGGCTCGCCTGGGCGCTGGGAAAGGTGTCGCCGCGGGCGCCGAGGGCGCGGGGCCTCAGGGAGGGTCCTGGCCGGGCCCCCGGGGAGAGGTGAAGCCCGCGGAGCGGGAGGCGGCCTCCCTTCCGGCGTTCTCGTCCCCCGCGCTGTCGGACTGGGGTCGGAGGGTCCGGGTGGTGCCCGCAGCCGTTTGTTTTTTGTTTTTAAGATTTTTTTTTAAAGATTTATTTATTTATTCATGATAGATCTAGAGAGAGGGAGAGACACAGGCAGAGGGAGAAGCAGGCTCCACGCCGGGAGCCCGACGCGGGACTCGATCCCGGGACTCCAGGATCACACCCTGGGCCAAAGGCGACGCTAAACCCCTGAGCCGCCCAGCGATCCCCCCGCAGCGGTTTTAAACCCTCGGGTGACGCCTGCTCGGCCGGGGTCGGAGCCGGGGCGCTGTTTTCGGCCCCTCCGGGCCGGAGCGCTGCGTGGCTCCCCGCGCCCGGGGTGACCTCGGGTCGGTCCGTGCGGGACGGTGATCAACTCTGCAAGCCTAGATTTTTGTCACCTCCCTGGGTGCAGATCTGGGTTGGAGAGGCCGCAGCAAGGGCGGACACTCCCTCCTGCAGGCGTGCGCTCCGGGAGACCAGCTCCTTCCTGTGTTCAGGTCACAATCCTCCCAGGATGGCTCTGAAGTTAAGTTGCGCAGGGCACTTTATTATCTTCCCCGGTGTGATTAGGAGATGATTAACATAAGGTAGGCAAGTTTAAGATGTACAGTGATGGTTTGGGGCGCATATTATGAAATAATTACAGTAAGGTTAGTTCACATCTCAGTTCTCGCACATAATTGCCATAGCTTCGTGTGTGGCGATAACATTTAAGAGCTACTCTCTTTTGTTAGTTACAGTCACCATGCTGAATATTAATTAGATCCCCCACAATATACTCATCTTACAGCTGGAAGTTTATACACTATAACCAACATCTCCCCTACATACCCTGGCAATCGCCACTCTATTTTTATGAAGTCACCTTTTTTAGATTCCACATATAAATACAGCATTTATCTTTCTCTTCTTTCACTTGGGGTATGCCCTCAAAGTCTATGTTATCCTAAAAGGCAAGATTTCCTTTTTTTTTTTTTTTTTTTTTAAGATTTTATTTATTCATGAGAGAGAGAGGCAGAGACACAGGCAGAGGGAGAAGCAGGCTCCCGACGTGGGACTCGACCAGGGGTCTCCAGGATCACACCCTGGGCGGAAGGCGGCGCTAAACCGCTGAGCCACCCTGGGATCCTCGAGATTTCCTTTTTTATAGTTGAATAACCTTTTGGGTGGGTGGGTAGGTGGGTAAGATTGTGTCCATTCTAACTTCCATAGCCCCGGGTTGTTTCCATAAATTGCCTACTATAAATAATGGTGCAATGATCGTTAGGGTGGAGATGTATCTTTAAGATCGGGATTTTGTTTAGATTGTTGAAGTTTTGGAATGTGGGTGAGGCCCGGAGCTGACGACCAGGAAAGAATTCTTGAGATGTCTGTGGTATAAAATGGTGATTTTATTAAAGCCACGGAGACCAGGGCAGCCCTGGGGGCGCAGCGGTTTAGCGCCGCCTGCAGCCCGGGGTGTGATCCTGGAGACCCAGGATCGAGTCCCGCCTCGGGCTCCCTGCATGGAGCCTGCTTCTCCCTCTGCCTGTGTCTCTGCCTCTCTCTCGCTCTCTCTGACTGAATAAATAAATAAAAATAAATAAATAAATAAATAAATAAATAAATAAATAAATAAATAAATAAATCTTAAAAAAAAAAAAAAGCCACGGAGACCAGACCTTTGGGCAGGTAGAGCTGCTGCTTCGGCTTGTGAGGAGTGGCTGATGATATACTGGGAGGTGGGAGGGGTTTGGGGATAGTTTAGTCTCTGAGGAATTTTAGAAGCAAGGTTTCCAGGACCTTGAGGCTAGCAATTGTCAGGAAAAGGTCACTTATTACTGTGGGACCCAGGAAATCTAACAAAAATTCCCTACCCCTGGACAAGCAGAGCAGGACTAACTCCATTCTGTGCTACACCCGCCATCTCATGTAACCCCCCCCCACGACCTGCCTATTGTTTAAGTCACTCCCTCACCCTAGTTTAGCTCTTAAGCACACCCTTATCAGAAACCTGCACACTTAGGAATGCGGGACCTCTGACTTTTAACCAGCCCAGGAATGAAAACCCCTCTTTTGCCCGCCAAACCTGAGCGCCAGTTCTAACCAGAATAATAGGCTAGTTCAAATGGTCACTATAGGGTGAATCGTGATTCAATTGGCCACCTGCGTGTGGACCAACATGACTGTGCAACTTTCTGCGTACGTTACAGTCTCATTGGCAGATACCTAAATGAAAAGAATTTGGGATATAAGAGAATGAAAGAAAGGATTTGGTTTGAGCAACTAGAAAAGTAGAGTTGTCATTTATTGAGTTGAAATAATACTGTAGCAGGAGCAGGTTTTGAGTTTTAATTCAGTTAATGCCTCTTAGGCATCCAAATGGAAATAGATATTTAAGTATATGAGATTAGGAAAAAGCCCATGAAAGGAATGGATATAGGTAGAGAGAGGACCAAAGACTGATCCCTAGGATACTTAAGTGTTTAAATTTACGAAAATGAGGAGGAACCAGAAGGGCAGGTAGAAAAGTAGAGTCCAGTGTGTTATGATGAAAACCACAAAGGCATACAGCTTTAAAAGACAGGTAAAGAAAGTGTTTTATGAGAAAAGGGGTAATTCGGATGTATTGTGGATCGGTCAAATCAGGTAAAGATTGAGAATTGATCATTTTACAGAGAATAGAGAAACAAAATACTTTTATTCAAATGATCTTATTGGCACTTGCTTGAAAAAAAAAGGTGTATCCTTTTTGCAGAAGCTCCATTTTTTTACAAACTTTTTGAGGGTAGTTTGATAATATCTATCAGAAACTTAAATGTGTGCTCTTTTCTTTTTCTTTTTTTTTAAGTGGGCTCCACACCCAGCATGGAGCCCAGTGCAGGGCTTGAACTCATGACCCTGAAATCAAGACCTAAGCTGAGATCAAGAGACCTGTAACCAACTGAGCCACCCAGGTGCCTCAAATATATGCTTTCTTTGACCTTGTAATCCCATTTTTAGGAATTTATCCTAAAGTAATAATATTTATACATATACACAAAGATATATGTATCAAAGTGTTCCTCACAGTGTTGATTTCAGTAGTAAAAAAATCCATCAGGTTGGATACAGTTGTTAAAGGAGCAATAGATATATAATAGATGTGTACAGATGTATAAGGTAGCTTCACACATTGTTAAATGATAAAAGCACGTTATCCAATAAAAGGTATAATATAATTTAATTTATGTTAAAACACGTAAAACAGGCCTTCTTTGACTACATTATCAAAAGGTGCCTGCTTATTTACCTCGTAAATGTCATATTAGCCTATTTTATTTACAACACTTGTCCCTATGTAAAATGATTTTATTTATACACTTGTTCACTTTTTCCACCAGAATGTAAGCTTTGTAATACATCTCCTGTCCTGTTCACATCCATATTCCTACTGCTTAGGGTCGTAATTTTTAAAATCTTGTTTTAGGGGAAAAAAAGAATATTTTCCTAGTTTAATTATTAAGTATTAATCTCATTCCAATGAATATCCCTTCTCGTTTCTTCATTCTTATCATTTACAAATGAAGGCAGTCATTCTCAATCCTAAAGTCACATTAAAATTATCTGTGTAGCTTTAAAGAAAAAAATTATGCATAGGCTCTCCAATGTAGACCAATCTCAAGTCAGAACTTGAACTTGGGATGGAATCAGGGTATTAGTATTTTTAAAAGTTTTCTTTGAGATTCTAACGTGCAAGCAGTTGAGAGCCACTACATTAGATGATATTTAAAGTATAATCCTAAGGATTCTGGTATCAAGGATACATAAGAGGGACACATTTCTCTAGTGTAAAGGTATTTTCTGAGAATTAGAGTATCAGTGTTTCAGACAAATCATCTTTTGCTTTAGGAATAACAGATTGGGGGCAGCCCCGGTGGCTTAGCGGTTTAGTGCTGCCTTCAGTCTGGGGGTGTGATCCTGGAGACCGAGGATGGAGTCCCACATCAGGCTCCCTGCAAGGAGTCCCACGTCAGGCTCCCTGCATGGAGCCTGCTTCTCTCTCTGCCTCTCTCTCTCTCTCTCTCTCTCTGTCTGTCATGAATAAATAAAATCTTAAAAAAAAAAAAAGGAATAACAGATTGAACCAGTCATTTTCTCCTCTCGAAGTACTTCTCCCTTGAAGAGGTGTAGGTATTGGGCGACAAAAATTTGACATATTTCAAGAATTTTACAAAAGAAAGACCTTAAGTTTCACATTTGTTGGAAAAAATGTTGTTACTTTCAGTAGGATCACTTTCTTTTTTTTTTTTTTTTTTTTTTTTTAATTTTTTATTTATTTATGATAGTCACACACAGAGAGAGAGAGAGGCAGAGACACAGGCAGAGGGAGAAGCAGGCTCCGTGCACCGGGAGCCCGACATGGGATCCGATCCCGGGTCTCCAGGATCGCGCCCTGGGCCAAAGGCAGGCGCCAAACCGCTGCGCCACCCAGGGATCCCTCAGTAGGATCACTTTCTTAAGAGTTCTTAAGTTTACAAATGCTGGATGAAAACTACTTTCTATTTTCACTCCATTATTTAGGGAAGACCTTACTGCATCACTTCAGGAGGACTTTTTCCCTTCCTTGGACCTTTGTGATGCGTTTACCTAGAAACAGCTTCTTTGATGTGCAAACATTCTACTGGCAAATGGTGCAGGGCAGCCACTCATATTGGACAATTCAGGTTTCTTCTGGGAATTGAACTTTGATCCGGAATTTTCTCTTGTGCCTGATATGGTAAAAATTTATGATTTTTACATTCTGAAGCATAGTGAAATACAGCGTACTATGTCTTTCTAATTTGAGGTATTGATAAATCTTATGAGCATGTGTAAAAAAATAGAATAATCATGTACAAACCTACCATCACAGAATAATTGTGTCATATTGCTGTATTTTATTTACTTTAGTCTCCTAATACATTTTATTATATAAGGTTAATATGGGAAAACAGTACTATTATCCATATAAGTTAACTTTGTATTAAGGAATTTCTCTTCCTATTGGATTCTTTGGTTGTTTAATGTGTATTTTTTGTGTCTACTATGGGAGGGTAGAAATAAACCAGAAATAAATTCTGCTGTTAGGTACCTTTAATATATTAGGAGAGATAAAATTTTTACCTAATACAATATTGAATGAGATAACAGTTGGAAAAAAAAAAAAGAGAGATAACAGTTGGATAAAAGTATAGATCATTGAAAGAGTTAGAGAGACTGCCCCTTACCTTGCCAGAATCAAGGAATGAGATGGTATTTGAACTGATATTGAAAGATTTGTGTTGCTAGAGGTATAGTTTGGTCCAGATAGTATAGTAGCCTGTTTTTTAGAGGCAATATGTGTGAAACTCATTAAGTAACTTTGTTTTTAATAGAGTATAAGATTCATAAAATGGTAAGGAAATAAAAGTAAAAAATAGAATTCTTAAGAAGTCTTTTGTCTCCATTATCACTATCATTCAGTATTGAGGAGCAGTTTATTGTCCCTTTTCATTCGCCATAACTTGTTTTTTGATTCTCTTCTTTGGTTCTTAGAAAAGGAATTGATGAAAAAAAAAAAAAAGAAAGAAAAAAGAAAAGGAATTGATGTAGTAATGGAAACAAATAATGGAAACGAGGAAAAGACTAAAGTCTCAATAGAGATATTTTCACTTCATCTATGTAGCTATCTATTTATTTATAAAGATTTTATTTTGGGGTAATCTCTTCACCCAGTGTGGGGCTCAAATTCACAACCCCGAGATCAAGAGTCACACACTACTAACTGAGCCAACCAGGCACCTCAGATATTTGTTTTTTAATAATTGCTTTCAATATCAGTAAAATGAAATAATACAGAAATTTCAAAATGGATTTCAAGGTTATTGAGTAAAATCAGGCCTTCCTGCTTTCTGTTCCATGCTATTCAAATCACACCATCTTGGTTTTTCTCTATGAAAATTCCTGTATTCTGGGAAAGTACAATTTTATGGAAGATACCAACCAGCAAAGGAAACATACCCCACTTACATGCAACCCCTCTGGCCTGCAGTTTCTGTATGTGTTTTCTCCTCCTCCTCCCCCATACGTCCCCTGATCTTAAAAAATAAATCTCCCTCTTATTGCCTGATAAACATATGGAAGATGGCTTTCCTCTATTTCTTTTACTTTAGAAAAGAAAGATAATTTATGAAATTGAACTGGGTAGGGAATATGGATTTAAGGCAGTATGGAAGTTCTTGGGAAATTGAATTTGTAAAAATTATAGTTACATTTTACATTCCTCTGGGGCAGAAAGAACACTATGACCTATCACATCTTACATTATCAACTCATGTTAGACTTTTTATCTTTTGGCTGAATCTCAAGGGATATAGTTAGGGTTCCTGATAAAGAAATTGAAAATGAAGGATATTTGCAAGTAGGGTGTACATAAATATGATTAATAAGTAGCATTTAGGGCGGCGCCAGAAGGAGTTGCGGCGGTAGCAGCTGGAAAGGACCATGGCCAACAGTGAATGCACCTTCATTGCCATCAAGCCTGATGGAGTCCAGCGCAACCTCGTGGGAGAGATCATCAAGCGTTTCGAGCAAAAGGGATTCCGCCTCATTGCTATGAAATTAATCCAGGCTTCTGAAGACCTTCTCAAGGAGCACTATATTGACCTGAAGGACCGTCCATTGTTTGCCGGCCTGGTGAAGTACATGCAGTCAGGGCCTCTGGTTGCCACGGTGTGGGAGGGTCTGAATGTGGTGAAGACAGGCCGAATGATGCTCGGGGAGACCAACCCGGCGGACTCCAAACCTGGGACCATCCGTGGGGACTTTTGCATCCAAGTTGGCAGGAACATTATCCATGGTAGCGATTCTGTGGAGAGTGCGGAGAGAAGATTGGCTTGTGGTTCCAGCCTGAAGAGCTGGTGGATTACAAGAGCTGTGCTCAGAACTGGATTTATGAGTGAGGAGTGATGAGGGAGCAGACCTCAGTGCTTTGCCCTTTCCATTCCCTCTCCCTCCCATGAGCAAGGGGGCAGGCTCTTGCAAATCCAGTTATTTTTGAGAACTTCCTTATAACCTGGAGGGGACCTCTTGGAGCTGGGAGTTCTTCCAGTACAGTATTATGGGCCGCCATCAGATTAAAATGTTTCATCCCATTGTAAAAAAAAAAAAAAAAAAAAAAAAAAAAAAGTAGCAGCTGTTTTAACCAGTTACAATTTAAACAGTGTTTTGAAACTATCTTTAGATTGTCTTGTCTCCAAGCAACAGGTTCAGTGGGCAGCTCCTTCTGAAGTCTGGCTGAGCTGTGAGGATCTGAAGTGGAACCTTCCTGAAGACATTGCTATTAATGCTGGGCATATCTCAGCATCAATTCCTGACTGCTCTATGCAGACTCTCCTTGGAAGCACCTTGGATCACCATTACTAGGTCTGTTTCATGCTTCTTTTATCTCTAGCATGTCAGGCCCTCTCCAGTTTTTAAAGCACTCAGATCCAGGAAGGCTTGCTACTGGCCAAAGTAAAGGGCTCCACAAGGCTAAGCCATCAAAAGTCGATCATCTATCAGCCCACAGATCTCAGAAAAATAGCCCAGTGGTGAGTTGTACACTGGCATTTATTTTTTATCCCATTCTCAGAAAGTAGAGGTAAAACAATTTCTACATAATTAAGAGCTAAAAGAAAGGACAGTCCAGTTCTGTTTGCCCACTTGCCTATGTTAGCACCCTCTCATGTCTTTGCTAGTGAATGATCCAAGACATGAGGTTAAATGATCTCTTATTTCTTTTGATCCCTGGCTTGACTCTAGAATAAGAAGCAAGGGCACCTGGGTGGCTCAGTTAGTTAAACAGCTGACTCTTGACTTCAGCTCAGGTCATGATCTTGGGGTCATGAGATTGAGCCTTGTGTTGGGCTCCAGGTTCAGCAGGGAATCTGCTTGAGGATTCTCTCTCTCTCCCTCTCACTCTGCCTCTACTCTCGCTTATGCATTCTCTCTCTCTCTGTCTCTCTCAAATAAATAAATAAATAATAAATCATTTAAAAAATAGAATAAGGAGCAGTGAACCATCTATATCTAATGGAATCTCAAAGTAGATTTTATTTATATTTGCCTTTTTGATGGTTCTCACATTTCACTGAGGACCAACAATCCTAAAACAATGTATAAATAGACTCTGAAGGGCCTCTAAAGTTAATTTGATCCAAACTCATCATTTTATAAATTAGGAAATAACACTAGAGAGGCCACAGTGATTTGAGAGGCAGAGCTGAGTAGTCGGAGTCCCATTACCTACTAGTGCATCAAATTATCCCCTTGGTTTACAGCCTTGTTTTATTAGGGCTAGACCCTAATGAGAATCTTTCTGAAAATTAAATGTCCTCTTGGATCAGTTGATGTTCCTTCCAGTAATATTTTTCAGACCATGATAAATATCCACCCAGGCTTTACCACGTAGCTCCTAGGGGATGAAGTCTGAGCTTGGAGTAAAGATGAGTGTTAGAGTAGTTGATTTCCTCCCTCTATTGGCTTTAAATGACAATGACAAGCCTAGTTTCTCCACTAGGAGAGGAAATGTTTTACAGTAAATCAACGGATGAGTAGATAAGGAAGTGTTACATATATTTGTGTGTATATACACATATACCCACTGTACAGATTTAAATTTGACATTTTCCCCCAATTTTGCTTCACTTTTCTCAAAGAGATAAAACTTCTGGGTGCCTGTCTGGCTTAGTTGGTAGAGACTCTTGATCTCAGAATTGTGAATTATAGCCCTATGTTGGATGTAGAGATTACTTTAAAATCTTAAGAAAGAGGTAAAACTTCACTGATAACAGTTGAAGACTGTTTTGTGACTTTTGATCTCATCCCCAATTCTTGGGATGGATAATATAAAAACTTTAACAAGTAGAATCAGACATTAACTAATAAGAATCTTTGCCATTCCTAGCACTGGTGCAGGACCTGGAGTCTCTGCTGTTGAGCATTAGGCATCTTGGTTACTAGACGGAAGAAGGGTGAATGCACACAGGTTCTGGGGTGGTGAGAGATGGAGGTGTTAAGGCAGCTGCTATTACAAGTCTCTGTGAAGTGTTCTTTGATCATCTTGGACCTCTTTTCTTTTTCCTTTTCATAGGTAACTATTCTGAACTAAGTATATAACCTTTATATTCTTATAAATTTGTGGATACTTCTGTTGCATTTAAAAATTACATAAATGATACTCTAGACAGGAGTGCTTAGGTGGCTCAGTCAGGTAAGCGTCTGCCTTCAGCTCAGGTCATGATCCGAGGGTCCTGGGATTGAGTCCTGCATTGGGCTTCCTGCTCAGCAGGAAGTCTGCTTTTTCCCTCTGTCCTTCCCTTGCTCATGATCTCTCTCTCTCTCTCTCAAATAAATATTTTTTAAAAATGATATTCTAGATGGAACTTTCTGCCATGCTATTTGCATTCAGTCTTATGTTTTTGAACGTTGTTCTTTTTGATTCACATAAATTTAGTCTGCACATTAACTGCTGCACAGAATTTCATTACAAAGTAATATATCACAATTTTTATATATAAACAAGCTGCAGTGAGTATTTTTTTTAAAGATTTTATTTATTTATTCATGAGAGACACAGAAAGAGAGGCAGAGACACAGGCAGAGGGAGAAGCAGGCTCCATGCAGAGAGCCTGATAGGACTGGATCCTGGGTCTCCAGGATCACGTCCTGGGCTCAAGGTGGCACTAAACCACTGCCTGGTTTAGTGCCACCTCTGGGCTGCCCTGCAGTGAGTATTCTTATCCAGCATGCCTCCTTGTCCATATCTTTTACTATGAAATAAAAAATTTTCAAGTTGTATTTGAAAGAGCTAACTACAAAAAATAAATTACAGGTTGACTATTTCTTATTTTTATAAATTAGAAGCCTATTTGAGTATGATAGTTATTTTTATTTTTATTATTAATGTTTTAAATCATAGTGATATTGCAAAAAATAATGGATATTTTCTGTATATACCTTTCTTAAATAATGCTGAAAACTAGATATACACAAGAGTAAAAAAGAAATATTCAGTGCTTAAAAAAATCAGTGAGGGATGCCTGGGTGGCTCAGCAGTTGAGCATCTGCCTTAGGCTCAGGGCATGATCCTGGGTCCAGAATCGAGTCCTGCATCAGGCTCCCTGCAAGGAGCCTACTTCTCCTTCTGTCTATGTCTCTGCTTCTCTCTCTATGTGCCTCTCATGAGTAAACAAAATCTTAAAAAAAAATCAATGATATTGTAATATTGCAATGAACTAAATAAGACACTTAGCACGTTTTAATCAATTTACTCTTGTTTTGGATCTCAGGTACACTATCAAGTTAGTCATGTTAGTTCATGGTACATTATCTGTCTGTGGAACATTGCTCTTGCTTTATTTTTTTTCCATCATTTCCTTTTCTGTTTCCTCTCAATCTTACATGTTTGTCTTCAAGTATATTTGCATCTTTTAAAAGTATGTATTTTTGTGTATGGGTTTATTTTTTTAAAATATGTCATACTTAGAAAATTATAAAATGTATACACAGGTTAGATAATAAAACAAGTACCTATGAGCCTGATTCCTAGTTTCATAGAACATTGTCAGCACCTTAGATACGTCCTGTGTGCCCCTTCCTAACTGAATCCCTTTGTTTCTACCTAAAATTCAAAATGGTAGATATGTATTTAATTTTTTTTAATTAAAAAAAAATTTTAAGTAGGTTCTATGCTGGGCCTGGAGCCCAATCTAGGACTTGAATCACAACTGTTAGATCAAGACCTGAGCTGAGAGCAAGAGTTAGATGCTTAACTGGCTGAACCATTCATGTGCCCCAAAATAGTAGATGTTTTGAATTTTGTGTTAATCATTCCTTGTTTCTCTTCCTAGTCTAATCACCCACATATGTATCCTTAATTAATATTATTTTTATCCATTTTGAAAATTTATTTAAATGAAGTTAGACTAGTTTTATTCTTTTGTTACTTCTTTTTCTTTTGTAAGATTGGTGTTGATATATGTGCAGTTATCAATAATTTTCATCATTGTGTAGTATTTTATTGTATGAATATACCACGAGTTATTTATCTACTAAACTCTTATTTGACATATGGGTTTTCCATTTTTCGCTTTTTCAAATAATGTTGATAATCTTTGCTTTTAACTGGAAAGTTAAGTCCATTTACATTTAATGATACTACTATTTGGATATATTTCTATCATCACATTATGCATAATCCATTGTCCCATTATTTTTGCAGTTCCTTTTCCCTCCTCTTATTGTGCCAAAAACTGATTATGTTTTTGCTTTGTTGTTTGTATTTTTTTCATTCCATTTTTCCTTCTCTTTTAGTTTAAAAGTTATTTGCTATATGAATACTGTTTTAGTGGTTATATTAACTATTTTATCATATGTAATTAACAAAGTTAAATAACATTTTCATGTTACTCCTGGGAAAGCTGAAGATTTTATAGTGCTTTAAACTATTTTTCGGGATGCCTGGGCAGCTCAGAAGTTGAGTGTCTGCCTTTGGCTCAGGGCATGATTCCAGGTCCAGGGATTGAGTCCCACATGGGGCTCCCTGCGAGGAGCCTGCTTCTCCCTCTGCCTATGTCTCTGCCTCTCTCTCTGCGTCTCTTATGAATAAATAAATCTTTAAAAACATATACTTTTCTCCTCTCAATATATATACAATTTTTTGTCTTGCTTTTATTCTATTCTTTATTTTCAACCCTATAAATCAGATTTTTAAAATTAACTCTTATTTAAATATACCTACATATTTACAATTATTTTTTGTTCACTTTTCTTGCTCATATTTCAGACTTCATAAGTTAGTTTTCTATGTGAAATCTATCCTTTAGAATTTTCTTAAATGAGGGAATATTAGTAAATTCAGTTTTTCTTTGTCTAAAATCTCTTTATTTAATCCCATTTTAAAACATAATTTTACTCAGTATAAAATTTCTAGCTGGCAGTTATAATATATCCTTCATTTGAAGAAATACTACCATTTTATGCACTATTACAAAATTTTAAAATGTTACCAGCTAAACTATTCACAGTATGAAACGGTACCAACTTTAAGATGCACCCCAGTTAGGGGCACCCAGATGACTCAGTTTGTTAAGCATCCGACTCATGATTCAGCTCAGGTCATAATCTCAGGGTTGTGAGATTGAGCCCCATGTTGGGCTTTGTGCTCAGCAGGGAGTTTGCTTGGGATTCTCTCTCTCCCTCTGCCCTTCCCCCAACTCACATTCTCTCTCTCTCTCTTTCTCAAATAAACAAGTCTTCAAAAAAAGATGCACCCCCATTGCAGAAATGTGAAAAGTTTGTCTCCAAATCAGTGAAGGATGATATATTTTTTTAGTGCATTATAGCTATCATTTTGCTTTTTCTAGCTTTTGAATTGTTGAAATGTCTCTCAGCAGTCCAACAGCTATTTTTTTTGTCATTATCTGTCCTTTCTATTATCTGCTTTTTAGATATTTCCTTGATGGTCTGCAATTTCATTTTTTAAAGACTTTTTTATTTATTCATTTGAGACAAAGATACACACACACACACACACACACACATATATATATATATATAGAGAGAGAGAGAGAGAGAGAGATCATGAACAGGGGGAGAGGCAGAGGGAGAAGCAGGCTCCCCGCTGAACCAGAAGCTTGATAGGGGGCTCAATCTCAGGGCCTGGAGATCATGACCTGAGCTGAAGACAGATGCTCAACCATCTGAACCATGCAGGTGCCCCTGCAATTTCATTTTCAGTGTGTAGGTAAGGAATTCTTTTTATTTACTCTTCTTGGGATTTGCTAGACCACTTTGATATCTTTCAACAATTCTGTAAAATTCTTAGACATTATGTCTTTAAATATTGCCTCTTCCCATTCTCTAATTTATAAACTTCTTGGACTCCAAATAGACATATGATAGACCAACTCATATTCTCTGTGTCTTTGAACTCTCTTTTATCTCTACCATTTATTTTTTCATTTATTTTTTCCTATATGCTGTCCTCTTGATAATTCCTTCATATAATTTCACTCATTCTTCACATAGGTCTAATCTGCTCTTTAATGTGTCCATTCAGTTTTTATATTAAAGTTATTATACTTTTCATTTTTAGAAAGCTTACCTGGTTGTTTTTCTCAACATGTTTATTCTTTTTTTTTTTTTTTTAATTTATTCTTGAGAGACAGAAAGAGAGAGAGGCAGAGACACAGGCAGAGGGAGAAGCAAGCTCCATGCAGGGAGACTGACGTGGGACTCGATCCTGGCTGAAGGCAGCACCAAACTGCTGTGCCACGGGGGCTGCCCCCAACATGTTTATTCTTTATGGTGTTGTGACTTACTTACATTTTCAAAATTCTCTTTTATTCTTGATTTTTTTTATTACACATTTTTTAAAATTTACTTTTATTTTATTTTACTTTTTCGAGAGGAAGAGAGTGCACAAGCAGGGCAGGTAAAGGGCAGGGAGAAGAGAGAAAGAATCTTAAGTAGGCTTCATGCTCAGCACAGAGTCCAATGGGAGGCTTGATCTTATGACCCTAAGATCATGATCTGAGCTGAAATCAAAAGTTGGATGCTTAATCAACTGAGCCACCCAGGTGCCCCAAAGTTTTTATTTTTGAGTAATCTCTACACCCAATCTGGGACTTGAACTTATAGCACCAAGATCATGATACGTTTATGCACTTTTTAGAGATTTATGTTAATACATTTTCTTGGTTTTATTTGAATCATATAAACTTTTTTGTAACAAGATTATACTAATTATAGTTACACTTTGCACACCCCTTTAACTATAGGAAGAAATACTGTATTATGGATAAATATGCTCCAACTTTTACTCTCAATATAGGTGTGGAAGAAAGATGAAATTGATGTTGATTTACTGAAATCAGATTTTAAAAAATTAACTTGTATAATATAATGCATAGGAATTGATTTGTAACCAAAAAATAAAACAAATACTGATAAATCTCTCATCCGTGGCCTTCTAATATTTCAAGTCTCTATAAAGTTTTTTATTGGATGTGAATTAAAATGTCCACAGATACCTTATATGTGTTTTCTTGATTCCTGTACTCTTAGAAATTATATTTATTTAGATGTGGTACATTTAAGATGTTATAAATTGTCAGGTAGCAATTTTTAAAAAGATGTAAAGTCTTTTAGGTGTCAGCATGTTACTCATCATTTTCCTGAAACCTATTGCATTTGTTACCATAGTACCTCAACTATTTTAAAGTTGTATTCTTCTTAAAGCTACTTATTTGAGTTTCTGTGTGTTAGAACATTGGTTTTGATCAATAGGGAACATGTTTAGCTAATTAATTTGCAATTTCTCTTTGTAGGCTTCTTTTGATCCACGTGTTGTAGTTCCCACCAAGAACCCAACGATGTACAACAAAAGGGCAGCTGACCCAGTCCATCCTGACCTTACTGGTTTGCTGGCGAAAAACAAAAATCTTCTAGCTGAGGTATATGGATTATCTGAAAATAATAAATGCCAAGAGAAATTATATCCTCTGTAAAAGTAGGGAGAGACACATTCTGATAAGGGGCTCAAGTGTTATCTTAATTCAGTTTTGCTTTCTTTTCTTTTTTTTAATTTTTATTTATTTATGATAGAGAGAGAGAGAGAGAGAGGCAGAGATATAGGCAGAGGGAGAAGCAGGCTCCATGCACCTGGAGCCCGACGTGGGATTCGATCCCAGGTCTCCAGGATCGCGCCCTGGGCCAAAGGCAGGCGCCAAACCACTGCACCACCCAGGGATCCCTGCTTTTTTTTCTCAATATTGAACTGTCTTGTCATTGAGGAGCACAAATTTAGACTCAAATTTGTCTTTTGCCAGGTAAATCCTTTTGAAGATCACATGTAGTTAAGTGCTTTTGAGTTGACTGGTAAATATCATAGTGTTAAAATAGTGCTTAGGGGGCAGCCCCGGTGGCCCAGTGGTTTAGTGCCGCCTTCCGCCCAGGGCGTGATCCTGGAGACCCAGGATAAAATCCCACATTGGGTTCCCTGCATGGAGCCTGCTCTCTCCCTCTGCCTGTGTCTCTGCCTCTCTCTCTCTGTCTGTCATGAATAAATAAATAAAATCTTAAAAAAAAATAGTGCTTCGGAACTGCCATGCTCAAAATGTATGTAAAAATAATAATCGATTATATGTTTTAAGCATTTTTTAATAGAAAGGTTGAGTTCCTATTTAAAACATAGCACCAAATATCAAATATCCATTAGTCTTATATAATACTTGATGAAACATCTGAATAACAACAGATGAAAAAGAAAGAAAGCACATTTATAGGAAATGCCTTGACTTTTCCCTTAACACCTAGTGATGGACTAGAGAGTATTTTGGTTTGGTTTTTTTTTTTTAAGCTTATTAATTTGTTTATTTATTAATTGATGTAATCTCAACACCCAATGTGGGTGGCTCAAGCTCATGACTCCAAGATCAAGAGTCACATACTACTCTTCCAACTGAGCCAGCCAGGTGCCCCTGTAGGAATTCTTTAGTTGAGCTCAAATGCCCTCAGGTCATGTGTTACAAGAGATAGTCTTATGGATAACCATGATTGAATCCCAAAGCCCACTATCACTATTAAAGGTATTATGATGTGGCTGTTTATGCCTGCATTGTCTCTATAGTTACTTGTGAGTAAAATGTTCTGAATGCTGATGTTGTGGGACACTGACTAGCCTTTTGTATAAGTAGCTATCTATGGCATGTGTATGAGTTTGCTAGGGCTGCTATAACTAAGTACCACAGACTGTGGCTTAAATAATAGAAATTTTTCTTAGAGTTCTGCAGGCTAAAAGTCCAAGACAAGGTATCAGCAGGGTTAGTTTCTTCTACTACTGCTTCTCTTTCTCCTCTTCTTTCTCCCAGATTTATTGCATATAATTGACATATAACATTATGTAAGTTTGAGGTGATTTTTTATACATATTTTTTGTTTTGATATATTTTGTAAAATAATGACCACAATAAGGTTAAATAATACTTCCATCACCTCACATGGTGTTTCTGTGTGTGTGTGTGTGTGTGTGTGTGTGTGTGTGTGTGTGTTGAGAAGGTTGGTTTCTTTTGAGGCCTCTTTTCTTGGCTTATATATGGCCATCTATACTCTGTGTCTTTACATGGTCTTCCCTCTGTAACTATGTCCAAATTTCCTCCTATTATAAGAATATCAGTCATAGGATTATGGCCCACCCTAAAGATCTCATTTTAACTTAATTACCTCTTTAAAGACCCCTTTAAAGACCCTGCCCTTGGGGTACCTGGGTGGCTCAGTCAGTCAAACAGCTGCCTCTTGATTTTAGCTCAGGTCATGATCTCAGGGTCTTGGGATTGAGCCCTGCATTAGGCTCTGTGCTCCGCAGGGAGTCTGCTTGAGGATTCTCTCTCCCTCTCCATCTGCCCCTCCCTGGGTTCATGCACACACATGTTCTCTCTCTCTCTCTCTCTTCTCTCAATAAATCTTAAAAAAAAAAAGTCCTTGTCCTAAAATATAATATTCTGAGTTACTGGGTGTTAGCACTTAAACATGTGAATTTTGAGAGGACAAAACAGCCTACAACAGTGGCCTTATTTATGGGGCCTCTTTTCTGCTATCTCATCTATCAATAGCCTGACACCAGGTTTCATTTAAATATATAGATAGATATAGAGGAGTGCCTGGCTTACTCAGTTGGTTAAGCATCTGACTCTTGATTTTGGCTCAGGTCATTATCTTAGGGTCCTGAGATGGAGCCCTGAGTCAGGCTCCACACTAGGCATGGAACCAGCTTAAGATTCTCTTTCTCTCTGTCAACCCACCCCCTCCTTCACATGTGCTTTTTCTCTCAAAATAGAAAAATATATATCTATAGATAAGTAGATAAATACATATTTCTTTCACTTTTATTTATCCTAATATTTTCCTCCTTTAGCATAGAGAGATGAATATAGAGCTTAAATTTTTTTTTAAAGATTTTATTTATTTATTCATGATAGTCACACAGAGAGAGACAGAGAGGCAGAGACACAGGCAGAGGGAGAAGCAGGCTCCATGCAGGGAGCCTGACGTGGGATTCAACCCCGGGTCTCCAGGATCGCGCCCTGGGCCAAAGGCAGGCGCCAAACCGCTGCGCCACCCAGGGATCCCTAGAGCTTAAATTTAAATGGAGTTTGTATAAGTACAATCCATTTTCTAATACTGGAGAGATTCTTAATCTTTCCTCCCCCTCCCCCCAGAAAAATTTAATACCAATACCTGAAAACTGAAGCATTAATTCTTCTTGTCCACAGTATAACTTATTACTAAATTTACTAAGTTTGAGATTTTTGATAATTCACGTTTGGATTAGATTAAGGTTTATGTCTATGCCTGATTCATAAGCCTTTTAAGCCAAATTGTCAAAAAAGATTACAACCTTTAAACCTTGTCTAAAGAAAATATTTAAGTTATTTTCAAGAATTTCAAAGTACTTTTTATTTTTATTTTTTTATACATTCTCTTTAATATTATTATTTTTTATTTTTTAAAGATTTTATTTTATTTATTCATAGACACACAGAGAGAGAGGCAGAGACACAGGCAGAGGGAGAAGCAGGCTCCACGCAGGGAGCCCAATATGGGACTCGATCCCGGGTCTCCAGGTTCAGACCCTGGGCTGAAGGCAGGTGCTAAACCACTGAGTCACCCGGGCTGCCCCAAAGTACTTTTTAAAAGCGATTCTCTACGTGTACATAAATCATTTGGTAATTATAAATATTTTAATCTATTTATCAAAGCAGATATATGAAATGCTCTACAAGGTCTCATTGGATTTGTTGTTATATGGAAAATATATTAATAAAAGAGTCTAGTGATTTCAACAGAATACTTTCAGCATGAGTCATCTTTTTCTTTTCCAGTAACTTTATTTCCTTGTGGGACATAGAAAAAGTGTTCAGTTGGTGATTGTGTTGTCTAGTTTAGGCACTATGATATTGAACTAAAGCTCTTGCATAGTGCTAGATAGGCTGCTGTCAGAATAAATAGTTAAACAACTTGTAAAAAAAATGTTACTGATATGTATAATAAGGCCTGGTATGTTAAAATAAATTTAAAGTGTTTTGCCAGTATTTCTACTTTGATTTTTTATGAAATTTTTATTTGTGAGGGCAATAGAATAGCATTGTGAGGGCATGTGTTTATGCATATAAGATATTTTTCTTCCCTTAGTGTAGTCCTGGCAAATAGTAGAAACCGGGTAGATGGGCAGCCCGGGTAGCTCAGCGGTTTAGCGCCGCCTTCGGTCCAGGTGTAATCCTGGAGTCTTGGGATTGAGTCTCACATCGGGCTCCCTGCGTGCCTGCTTCTCCCTCTGCCTGTGTGTGTGTCTCTCTCTCTCTGTGTCTCTCATGAATAAATAAGTAAATAATTTAAAGAAAGAAAGAAAGAAAGAAACCGGGTAGATGCAGTCAACAATGTAGGGAGTGAATGGAGGCAATGTCACTTTTGCTGCTAAAGAAAAATTTATCAGAACCAATTATTATTAATTTTAATTGAAATTTTTATTAAAATAATTGAAGAAGCACTTGGAGTTTTAAGAAATAATTTAGAAAGATCCTTTATAACTTTGCTGAGTTTCTCCCATTGTTCAATTTTGCAAAACTATAATATAATAACCTGAATATTGACATTGATGCACCGAAGTCTACCAATCCACCATTCTTACTCAGATTTCCCCAATGTTACTTGTACACATTTGTGTGTTTGTATAGAGTTCTGAACAGTCAAGATACTGAACAGTTTGAACACTACAAAGATCTTTCCTGTTGCCATTTTATACCCACACCCACTTCCTTCCTACCCTCAACCCCTGGTAACCACTAATCTTTCCTGCATTCTAAAATGTTGTCATTTCAAAAATGTTTTATATGCAAAAAGCTAAACATAGAGTTATCATATGACCTTTAAAAGAAGAGTGATAGTATAGTATCTGATGTTAAAACTGAGGACAGAACACATATCCTTTGCTTATATTCTTAGAACATTCTATTCATACCAATATTATTGTACTTGTTAAGGTATACTTTAATTATTTGTTTTATAATTGGTCTCCCTGAGCTGGGAAATTTTTTGAGTTCTTAATCTTCTGGCACATGCCTGGAACACAGAAGATACTGAAGTCTTGTTAGTTAAATAAAGAATGGCTCAGGGGGATCTCTGGGTGGCTCAGCGATTTAGCCCCAGGGCCTGATCCTGGAGACCTTGGATCGAGTCCCACATAGGGCTCACTGCACGGAGCCTGCTTCTCCCTCTGCCTGTGTCTTTGCCTCTCTCTCTGTGTGTCTCTCATGCATAAAAAAAATCTTAAAAAAAAAAAAAAAGTATTTATTAAAAAAAAAAAAAAAAAGAATGGCTCAGAGAGGTGCTAGATGGGAAGTAGAAACACCAAATAGGAGGTTTGTAGCAAACAGTGCATGAGGTGGACAATGTGTCC